ATATCTACTAAGTTTTGGTGTTGTGGATATGGTGTTTATATTATGGTATTATCTCTTCTTGTTGTTTTCTTATCCTCGACTGTCGATCCTACTATTATACATGGGATCCGATCCATGTTTACAGTTTCAACGTCGAAATAATGTGGGAGAGCAGATGCCTATATTATTAAGCAATTGTCATTGTACATATTTATTGTCAGTTTAAAAATGATCCGACATGTACAAAGCACTACCTGAGGGCCCTCTCAAGTAGGATAATATTCAAACTGTACACGTAGGTATCGAAAACCCTGCGTGATTGAAGAGTGGGGATGGGACACGATGAAGTTCAAGCGCTCGCTTCGAGCTTCAAAGCATCATTTGACGTTTGTGATCTATCACTTCCTGTTTAGCCGAAAAGCCGAACAATGACCGTTCTTGCATTCATCACCGCCGTAGCAGTCGTCCTTGTATCGATGGCGTCCGTGGAAGGTCACGGCGACATTTCAACACTGGTCCCAAGATTTCGAAATCAAGTACCGGGGCATATAGACAACGGTCGAGCCCATTAAATACTTGTGGAAGCCAAAGAACAACGATTTTTCGCTTGCAGGTAGCGAAGCTACTTTGCCGAAGACGACGGCTCCGCTCTCAAGTACAACGGGTTTCATCTCCAGCAACCTTCACAAGAATGACTGAATAACGACGCACGTTGCTAGGCCTGCTAGTATCCGGTTGATTGTTGAGCTGTGATAATACATGGTCCCCCAACGTTGGTTTGTCTGCCGTTATCGTACGTAATTATTGTGGCTTTAAGAACTGTTTCAGAAGCCCCAAAAAAATTGACTTACTACTACGTTGCCAGCTTTAGCCGAAAAATTAATGTTACGCAATTTAACACCAAAACCCTGCAACCTAGCGTGAAAGACTGTTTGTACCGGTAATGAATACAATAACAGGATTTCAATCTCGTTTCCAAGAGCCACTACAGGGTTCAAACCCTCGCGAGAGGAGAGGAGTATTTTTTCTGTTCGGAGAAATTCCACGGGTGTGGCCTGAGTTTTTACCTAAAACCGCTGGCCTAAATTGGGAAAAGCGTTTTCCCCCAAACCAAATATTTTTCAATTTTCTTTTTTTTCGGCCCTTCCACGAGCTCCACAATTCACTTAAAGAAAATTAGACACGAGGGTTGGATATACGATGTATCTATTCAAGTCCTCGTACGTGTACTTTGGGACTTAATCGTCAATTTTCCTTATCTCCAGCTGTATTGCAAAGTTCAATTCCATTGTAATACTTCGAGGTATGAAGAATTTCATTTGGATTTTACACTTAATTTTAAATACTTCGAAGTAGATGTTAAATAGCGCAGCTTTACTACTATAGAAAATAAGTGGCTCTCTGGATATTTACAGTGTAATGTTGTACAGTATCGAAACAGACGTACACTTACACATTTACATTCGTCTGCATTGTGCACAGACAAAGATAAAATATTGTGTAATAGCATAGTCAAGCTCTATTTAATTTAAAAGATATGAGTGGAGAACTGGGGAGCATGGAAGAGGAAAGCGACAATACTTAAAAAAAAAACATTTCTACAGAGCAATTCGATTAGGCTTTCCGAGCAATTTATAAGGCTTAGATTTTTTTAAAACACTGGATATACCGCCAATATCTTTGGCCTCGATCCGGACGTTCTGCCTTTATTTGGGCAAATGGGCGGTTCAAATTCGAAGCTGATCTGTCGGACTGATACCCGTCCAGCCTGTCATTTCCGTGTCAGCAAGACGGAAGTCTCCATCCATTTCGACGCAATTGCGCACAGCATACAAAAGTCGTTCGCGGCAGATTTCGTCGCTGGAATATCGTGGGAGTTGGAGTGCGAAGAAACACGTATGCGACTTCGGCATCTGCGAGTCCATCCAGCCTCCAGGGGGTCCTGACGATGAGCCGTTCGCGTCTCCATTACCCGAAGACGCAAGCGCTTGGATCTTAAATTTCTGGTGGAACTGTGCTGAGCCCAAAGGCAAACGAGACCGGGCCCACACAAACCGCAGAAAGGCTCGTTTATCCTCCGCTTCGAGACTTTCCAGCACGCGCCAAAATCTCTGAATAAACTCGTCGTTCATCGACAAATCTTCGTCGTACTCGGTATTAATCTGCAATAGCTTCACGTCCACTTCCGCAACGCCACACATGCGTTTCTCAAGCTCATTCCACGTCAGAAGAGCCCAACGCAGACACCGGCATAATGGAGTGCAGTCCCTGCTTTACTATATTCATCACCTCTTGCGTTTCTTGGATCCGTGCTCGAAGCATAGAATCTATATATTCTTGCAGATTATTCAAAGTCACCGCAGTATTGGAGCCATCTTCACAGAGATCAACTGAACGTCCATCGGATAATACAGTCGTAAAGACCAAATCCATCGCTTCTAGTCGTTCTTCTAGCCCTTCCTGCTTTGAATTTGGACGTTTAAACTCGTCTAAAATACCTTTCAACGTCTTCCATAATGAATACGCGACGAAATCGATCTCTTTGAGCGTTGCTAGCGCACTCTCCGGGTTCAAGTCGTCTTCAACCACTAGTTGTTTCCACACTGACATTGCCAGATCGAGACGAACGCACACACGCGTGCGTAGACAAATACCGATCATCTGACCGATAAAGAAAAACATTTCACAATAAAGTTGTCGTTTCTCTTCAGCGCTTTCTCCAGATAAACACGATACCTTCTTATCATGTATTTGACGCTCGATAAGAGCTCCATTAAGTACGAATTTCTCACGGTTGGCTCCGACGCCATTCCGCCAATTCGGACTAGGCAGAAGGAAGGGCAAGACACACGCTGATACGGATACATTGGGGTCTACTTTCAACGACGTACTACTGGGTCCTCCATTCGCAGAATGCTCCGAACTTGTGGACCCATTATCTTCGCTTTCGGGTACGTTAAGCATCTGTAACTCGGCGAAGAATTGCGAAAAGAACTCTCGATATGGACCACCATAGTCATCCACTCCTTCGCCCTCGAACTTGACTTTAAAGCTTCGTAATTGACCGTCATCCATTGGGTGGGAGTAGACCATACGTAGCGTTTTAATAGGTAAGAAATGGAGTTCTTCAAACGACTGGCCAAAGAGGGATGAGAGCAAACTGCTGACTGTTCCTTCGTGACATTTTGCTGCTGCTGCCTTCAGCCGGTTCACGTGTAGCTGCGGTAAATCTTCGGGATAATCGTACTCGTCGTCAGATTTTTTGGGAGAATTAGCGGTTTTTTCCATCAACGGCGTCCAAAGTGTGTTTTTTACACAGACAAAGAGACTGCCGCGACATTGTGACACTAGTCGACACGGTAATGAGTTGGAATCCGGTAAAAAGTA